GTATAGGAAAACTGCTGAGCAGCCAATATAGTTGTCATGAAATTCATGTGCTAAAACTCTTTACTTTCATACAAGTAAAGAACTTCCTTTTCTTTACTTATAGAAAAGTCATTAGGGCTTATTGTCAGATATTACTTTTAACTTAGAAACAAATGTTTACAAAAGTAAACATTCCAAAAATGAAAGTAAATTTTTTTGCTTTTTTTTCTAATCCTGATAGATTGTAAATATAAATTTTAAATGTAGAAACAGTTTCACCAGATTGTTTTTCTATTTTCTGGCATATCCCCATTTCCTGTAGGCTGATTAGAATAGGGATAGAAGACATATATTGGCAACAGCAACATAGCCACAAGACAGCAAGGGAAAATACAGAAAAACACCAGCTAGCATATATAGGAATTCAAAAGCCTAGCAACAGTCTATAATCTTTCAGTTGAATAGCGAGCAATTTTCAACACCTTAATCGCCCAAAGGTATTACTCTTTGGAACTATGCGGTATAATAACTGATATTCAAAATAATTGCCCTGAGTCATCAAGAAAAAGCCAAATTATGTTTAGTGTACTGTGTCTAAACAAGCATATGTCTCAAAATTATTTCCATCCAAAACAATGAAAATAAACTTTTAATGTTTAAAATTATTGTAACCTCTCAGCTATTCAGGAAATTATTCTTTAGAGAACAGTTTATTCCCTGAGGACTCCAAATAGCTGAGGTTTTCTATGTTACTTTTTTTCTTTCTAGACATACACACGTATTTTCTTACCCATTTCAAATTAATTTTAAAACCCCTAAATTGAAAATATTTCTGTTTTAAAGCAAATCGACAATAATTGCTAGATAGTTAAGAAAATACTAGCTAGTTAATGACTTTAAGATTATGAAGCTCACTTTTGATAGCATGATCTTGATTGTCAAAATATGCTACATGAAAGAGTATAAGTTTCCATTCTGTTAAAAAACAAACACTTGAATTTAACCACAATATACAGTGATTAGGAAAATCAGATTTAATATGTTTCATTTAGTTTATATAGCCAAATAATGGATTTCTTTATCTCAAATTTCAAATATTAAAAAGAAATTTCAAATAAAGTAGATGTACATTTTTAAATATTACTGATTTATTCTTGATATAATTTTTATTTATCAATTAAAATCTATCTTGTTTTCTGAATTTTTACAGTGATTATGTTTTAATTTTAAAATCAGAAAAACAATAAATAGCAAAAATAACATAAACACTCAATTATTTCAACTTTTAACAGAGCCAGAAGAAGAAAAGCTGCCATATTCTTATGAATCTATTAAGTTTTGTATATTTTAATGCTAATCTATAATTTAGACACAAAACTAGTATGTTAAATGTAGCATTAACTGGGGGAAATCTGTAATTGTCTACATGTATGTTACATATTGTTTTGTACGTTGTGAGGCATGTAGCTTCATTGCAAGTCTGAGATTGTTTGCAAGTTGTTGTGGTGCTGTTGCATGACTTTGAGACCTGTTTTGCATGCACAGGCTAAAAAGAAAAAGAAGGAAGAAGCGGCAAATGCCAAATTATTGGAGGCCGAGAAACGAATAAAGGTTAGTTTAGATGAGAATCAGAGTTTTTATTTTTCAAAAATAAAAACTATATGTTATACCAGCATCCATTATATGACAAAAATAGCTTTCTTCAATGGCTATCTAAAAATATGTTTAGCAGATACAACATGTGTATAATGTGTGCCTTTATTTGTATGTATATTGTATGTATATCTTTTTTTTCATTATATGGTTTTATGTGATGCTTTGAGCTCTTTAAATATGAAATATCAAATCAGAAATGCAAACTTTTGCTTAATACCTGCATATAGTTTTGCTGGATAAGAATGATCCTCCCAAAACTATTTTGTATGTCATTGATGTTTGTTTCGAACTGTGTCTCAAATCTGATTCTCCCCTTTTAACTTTCTCTTTGTTAATATCCAGCACCTGTTTCATCTATTAAAATTGAAAAGCCTACAGAAACAAAAACCAAACTTTATCAACTATTATTTACCAATAATAAAATTAGCCATTGTTAATTATTTTAAGGTCAAGTGTTTGGGGGTGTTTTCCTTTTGTTTTTCTGGCATGAAGCACATGAGAGTTGTCCCTTCTCCTCCCCACCCACTCCTTACCTTCCAATTCTGTTAACTGAATATTGCAAGGGGGCAGCTGAGCAAACCTGCTGGTGCTAGAAACAGCCACCACAACTATACCTCATAAAGCTAGAGAACTGCTTGTCATCTTTTCTATAATACTTTATTTTTAAGATTTCTAGCTCTTTTCATGCCTGCCCTTAAGATTAATTTCATCTGGATTTTACCTTTATAAAAATATTAAAATTGGTGACATTCCTAGAATGGTTTGCATTAAGCTCCATCCCCTTGAGATGGTGCCCTGAGTCATAGGTGGGCATGAAAATCTCAAACCAATCATAATCTTTATCACTTTCATTCATATGCAGTATATAGAAATGAAAAAATGTTAATTAGAGTACGTTAAGGAGTTTATAGTGAAGAGAGTTCTAATCAGCTAGACTTGAGGATTGCACCATAATGTATTAAATTAATTTTAAAATACATGTGCGAGTTCTACCTATGCTCTGACCATCTAGCTAGTCGGTTCGGTGAATGTGCGTGCCATTGAAGTGTGCTGGTAGGTCATTCATTGAATTTTAAGATGAAATGGCTACTGAGGAAAGATCCTTGCTATGATTTTTATGTAAGTATTAGGTAGAACCATGCGAAATTGGATTACCATTTTATAAGTAAAAGATAGTTGAATATTGGCAATTTCATATGGTTCAATCTAATGGAAGATTACAGAATCTCAGAAAAGGCACTTTTAGTATTTTCGGCATGTTCTAAATCTTCCCTAAAAATCATATATTAAAAGTTTCTTATTTTTAAGGAAAAAGAAATGAGAAGACAACAAGCCGTTCTTCTGAAACATCAGGTCTGTATACATATAGTTATTTAATTGTTGAAATGTACATTTACAATATTGCTTAAACCTATTTGGGGGAAGTCTTCAAAATATTTTCTTTAAAAATTTCTGATATAATTTCTGCTTAAGTTTTTCCTTCATCTTACAGTTGATTGCCTTGCTTTGGTATCGGTGTCTTTTGGGGGGTTAAAAATTGGTTTTATGACTCTGTGATTTCTGTTTCATAATGTTGTGCCAACTCTTTCTACCAGGAGTTGGAGAGGCATAGACTAGATATGGTATGGGTATGTTTATTTTTGTACATCTAACACCGCATTGTGATTTGGTTGTGATATGGTTGTCATAGCAATGCATAAAGTGTAGCACTGGCTGCTGTCATATTACATACTGCTGCATGGCTTTACAGCACAGTGCATTGCATACATCTGCTTGTCTGTCTATAAAGAAGTATGTTGCATCTCCAAGATTTTTCACTGAATTGTACAAGCCTTAAATAAGGCTACTCTCCAAAAATTTACATTACTGATGTCACAAGGAAAGTTGGATCACTATACGATTAGATACAATTATGACCCATATTCTCCCATCATTCTGGATGCAAAACTGCCATTGAATACAGTGGGAATTTTGAGTTTGCTTGATGAGAGAATACGAAATATTAATATATTCTGGTTTTATAGACAAATTTTAGAAATTATTTTAGAAATATCCCTTTGAGGGGACCAAATATACTTTAAAAAATTGATCTGATATTATAAATATGTGATTTTTAAATTTTTAAAATAAAATGAGATTATCAAATTAACATAGTGCTTGCCTTATTTTCATACTGTTCCTTTCAGATTCTACTTATTAGCCCATGGTGCAGCTTTTGTGGCTTTAAATAGTGCATCAAGTGGCAGACATCAGTAACTAGGACTATCCCATTTCGTTGGTGTTACAGATGAAACAAGACTAGTTTAACTAAATTGGTATAAAAGCATTTAAAAAAAACTTTCTAATTTGGTGGCGGCCTATTGGATTTACAAAATGATTTTGTCCTTGAAATAGAAATAACCAATTCTAAAAGCATTTAGTGAAAATGACTATAAATCAATTTCTTCCTGATCTAAAAATTTAAGAACACAACCTTTAGTTTAATTGGCCATAGTAAGTATTTATGGTTCTTCAAATAGCAGATGTAAGGTAACTGACCTGTTCCAGCCAACCATTTATGCTTTTTGTTCTGCCAGCTTTTGAAGGAGCATCACAACTGACCATAAGTAAATCTTGTATGCTTCTGTTTACACTGTCTCCATGTTCATTGCTTTACCTTTTTGCTTTTGATTGTTCTTGTATTCGCTTTCTAAACCTGAACTAAAACATGCACAGACTGGCCATTCTTGTCTTATATTTAGTATTTACTGTGACTTGTCTATAAATGCTAAACATGCTATAATAAGTTTTTTGGGGTTTTTTGTTTGTTTGTTTGTTTTTCCATTTGAAAATCAAACTGTTAACTGTGGTTGAGTTATTTCCCTAATTTTATCTGGCCTAATAGGAACGAGAGCGAAGGCGACAACATATGATGCTTATGAAAGCTATAGAAGCTCGTAAAAAAGCAGAAGTAAGTGATGTTTCTAGAAAAAATATTACCTTATAAATTAATATTTTTTTCCTAAAGCATTGACTTTTCTAAATATAAATTTTTCAGAGTATGGATTTGTCATGATTTACTGGCTTTCATAAGCAAACCAAAGGTTAGAGATAGTAACTGAGTGTTACGACATAAAAATACATAGGAATGGGTTCCAATGTATGTGTTAATTTTCCTGGCTGAGATTTTAATTATCTTTTTTTTGGTGACATTGGTTTGGTTAAAAGTAGCTATTTATTATTATAACCAGAGTTTCACAAAACTAATATTACAGTGTGCCTAGACAAGTCCTATGTGTCCTAATTCAAATACTAATTATTCCAACCATGGACTTCTACCCTCAGAATTATTCTTTAGGATTCTATGTGTAAAATTAGGCCTAAGTATTTTCCTTAAAATAGACACTTAACAGATAATTCAGAATTATAAAATTATTGCAATAAATCAAAATGAGCTTATTTAGAGTTTGATAGAAATCAGTTAAAGGATTAAAATATATGTTACAAAGGAGTACATTCTGCATTAAAACAGTTCAATAGCTGTATGGTCATAATAACCAGGGTTTTGGAGGTAGACAGACTCAGATTTCCCTCCTGGCTCTGCCACTAACTTGCTTTACCTCTTTTATTTCTTTAAAATTGAGAAATAATACCTACCTCCTAGGTCTGTGGGATTATTAAGTGAGATTAGAATTTAATACATGAGAATTCATGAGAATGGTACTATATTTTGGTATTTTGGTCTCAGCTCTGGCTTAAATTAGGAATCTGGATTTTTGATATGTGGAAACAATATGTGTATTGTTTTGGAACATGGGCAAGGTAGCCCAATTACCTGAATTTGAACTCTGATTTTAGTACTTTCCAGCTGTCTGACCTTGGGCAAGTTACTTAACCTCTCTGTGATTCATTTCATCTATAAAATGAAGATAATACTAACTCCTATTTCGTAGGGTTGTAGTGATAATAAATGGGTGTGTGTTTGTGTAAATGTGTGTGTAAAGTTCCTAGAACAGTGCCTGGTACCACGTAGTATTTATTTAATACATTTACTTACTACATGCGTGTTTGTTATAAAGAATGGGCCTAGCAAGATGCATGGACAGGGTTAGGAACTACTAACATGGATTATCTCTAAGTGTAAATTACAGCATGTAACATAGCATGTAACATACATTATAGCAATCACTTTCTGTGACTCTCCTAAACTTTATGGAAGTTTTGGCCTCACGTTTTTCTTGCTTTCTCTTTTCCCCAACCTGTTGATTATCCAAGGCCCGTTGACACCCTCTACACCTAACATAATGATAGAATCTATATATCTATGCATGGAATTATAACCATAATCTCTGAAAAATGACAGCCAGGGAAAGGAAGAGGTAATGTATCTTAGGAATTGGCATGACTGCCCTCTCTATTCCCTTTTGGAGCAGCACAGTGGTGGGAAGAGTCAGGAAGGGGATTAATTAAAATCCTGAAAGCAGAACCTAATTTTCTTCAATCTGGAAAGATGGAGAAAACTGAGGGAGTAATTAATAACTCAGACAAAAGACCTGGAAAATCCCTCAAGAGACAAATAACTCTTTTTACCAGAAAGAACAAAGAGAACCAATGCTTGTCATTCTGATTTTTTCCTGGCAGGGAGAAAAGATAAAGACGAGAGCATTATCTCCGGGCATACTAGGATTTAGTAGAAGGAAAGATCTAAGAAAATAGTAAGAATAAGATCATCTAGGAGAGTGCATACTCAGGTGAAAGAGACACCCCAAAGGCCCAAAGACATGAACCTTCCCATTGGTTTTTCCTACTTGCCAACTATGGCCTAAGGAGAGAGTAGGAAAAGCTGCTACAGAGAGGTGGATGAGATCTGTGTTGAGTGGAGGTTGGCAGCCACAGGATAAATAAAGCTAATTAAAATTAGATAGTCTAAGAATCCATCGAAGCCCAAGAGCACCTTTCAGGGGAACAGGATAAAGTGCATCAGGTACAGTGCTTCCAATAAAACTTGAAGGTATTAAAAACCAGGTATAGCTCTACCTTTCCTAGCTATTTTCATCCTGAGAAAAAAGAAGCATGGATAGAATATAGAATACTCACCCTTAAATCTAAAGTACTTATAAAAACAGATACCAGATAATGTGAGAAGAAGCTAAAGGAAAATTAATCCACCTATGTTGGTGCAATAGAAATTCTTAACAGGGCTCCCCACGTTAAACATAAGTAATTTCAAAGAAATGGCAAGGCATACATGCTAATATTTGGTTTAAAATATTAAAGCAAAATAAAGGAAATATGTGCATATATACATAAAGTAATAGTTTAAATCATAATAGCTTAAAAAGCCTGGTTTCCCTGCTTTCATTATTGCTTCCTTCAGCATTCCCTATGCATTCTCCACAGAGCAGCCGGAGTGATCTTTTCAAAAAATAAGCCAGGTCATATCCTGACACTATCCAGTGGCTTCTCATTGCAATTGTAATAAAGTCCAAATTCCTCACCATGACACAGCAGTCCCACATCCTCTGACCTCTGCCTTCCACTCCAACTTGTCCTTTATGCACTATATTCCATTCATTTTGTCGTCGTCTTAGTCCTCAACACTGTATTGCTGTTCTTCTACCACATACTCAAATGGTTCCTATTTGTTGTTCAGTCACCAGTCAGATGTTGTCTTGTCAAAGAGGTCTTCCCAGAACACCTAATTTTGCCTTTTCTTACATCCCACCTCTGGAACTCCATTTCATCATCTTGTTTATTTTTTACTTGTTTATGGTCTATTTCCTCCCACAATGTAAAATCTATGAGGATAGAATTCTTCTGTGTCTTGTTTACCATTTTACTGCCAGTACCTCGATTAGAACCAAGTATATAGTAGTGTAAAAAATTGTAGTTGAAATAATGAATGAGTGAATGCGTTAAAATGAAAGTGACAGTTGTTGAATTAAAAAAACAAATTAAGGACAAAACAAAACTATTAAAGAATGAGTATATTATTTTTTCTATCTATATAATTCACTTTGTATCTTTTGATTTGATTTTATTCTAGGCAGTTTTCTTTTGTTAAGGTCAAGCATTCAAGGAACTATTACTTAAAATAGCAATATAATAACATATGTCACAAATAATCCTTAAGTAGAATGTTTGAGAAAATCTGATAGGTAAAAGTGAATTCTTAACATGTTATCTTTTGATAACCATAGACCTGTGAACAGGACAGTTCACAGACTGGATGATTGTATCAGTCATTATGATTTTAAATTGTGTTCATCTAATGAATGGCAGCTATATAGATCTGTGATCAACTAAGTATTTTCTTAAATTCTTAAGCTACGGTTTTCCTAGCATTAAATTAGATTCTATGGGAAAAACAAAAAGAATATTCAAGATGCAGTAATCATATCACACAGATAAAACTTAAGAGTATAAGCAAGTAAGCAATAACAAGGCATATTTTAGCCAGGTGCAGTGATTCATGCCTGTAATCCCAGCATTTTGGAAGACCGAGGTCAGAGAATTTCTTTTTTTTTTTTTT